GAGCTTTGGCCAGTGCCATGCCCTGGAATGTCCTAAACCATGAGCTAAATGAACTTCTTCTCTTTATAACTTACCCAACCTCAGGTATTTCAATATGGTAATGGAAACTGGACTAACATAAGAAAACTCAATATTGTCATGATGTTGGTTCTTCCCAATTTCTTCTGTAGAGTCAATGAAATCTTAATCAAAGTTCCAACAAGTCATTTTGTGGATATTGACAAAATGGATTCCAAAATATACATGGAGAGGTAAAAGACCCAGAATAGCCAACACAATTGTTAAAGGAGAAGAACAAAGTTGGAGAACTGACTCTACCTGACTTCAAGACTTACTGTAAAGCAACATTGATCAAAACATATCCTATTGACAAAAGAATTGACAAATAGATAAAAAAAAAAATAGGCCCACATAAATATAATAGGTGATCTTTGACAAAGGAACACCATCAACACAATAGTAAAATATGTTCTTTTAAACAAGTAGTATTGGAACGACTAGACTTCATGCCCCTAGAATAAGACTACATGCAAAAAAACTGAATATAGACATAGATTTCACATCCTTGACAAAAATGAACACAAAGCTGGCGCGGTAGTGCATGCTTGTAATCTGAGTGACTTGGTTGGGTGGAAACAGGAGGATCACAAGTTCTAGATCAGCCTGGCAACTTAGCAAGACCCTGTCTCAAAATTAAAAAATAAAAAAGGTTTAGGGATATTGGTAAAACACCCTGGTTTCAATTCCCAGTACCAGAAAAGAAAATTAACACAAAATGGATCACAGACCTAAATGTAAAATGCAAAACTATGAAACTCCTAGAACAAAACATAGAAGGAAAACCTAAATGAACTTGGGTTTGGTTTTTTAGCTACAACATCAGAGATGTGGTTCATGAAAGAAATAACTGATAAGCTGGACTTCATTAAGGTTTTATGTTCTGTGGCATCTTATATAATTCAAAAAACCAACAACTACATATGGGTTATTAGTGAATAACCATAAAAACTCACTATAAAATAAAAAATAAGATATTAACCTTCAGCTACCAAATCAGCAAAGATTTTTAAAAAATAACTTTTAGTGTTATAAGATTCTAGGTGCAGAGAAACTGTCATACATACAATGGAAGAGAAAATGAATGGATTCACGGTTAGGTAGCTTTAATTTGTTTTACAATGTGAATGAGCAAGGGTATTTAGGGCAGTGAAATTACTCTAAATGATACTAAATGGAGGATTCGTGTTGTTATACATTTGTACCCATAGAAGGTGATGTTATGTTATGTTACTGTTAACAGACGTAACACACAGATACATGATATAATAATGAGGGAGGCTGTGCAGAGTGCATTTAGGCGTTCTCTGGGCCTTCTGCTCAGTTTTACAGTGAACCTAAAACTGCTCTGGGCAAAACAAATGAGCAAACAAAAACAAAAAACAATCTATTTTCTAAAAAATTGCATGGAGATCATGATTTATTGATGGAGATTATAAGGGCAGGAGGAGTGGACCCAACATGTTGACCCTCACAGTCACCTTTGGCTGCTCCTATAGCTCTTCTGTGTCACTGTGGGACACCCTTCCCTGGACTCACAGTGTCTGTCAACAGAAGCTTCCTGTTTTTGAGGGCACTGCTAATACTTAGGAGCAGGGGGAGGTTTAGCCAGATTGGTTCCTGGGATTCAAGATGGTGACTGTCTGGCTTTATCTGGGTCCTTTTAGCTTGTTTTACAATGTGTATGAGCAAGGATATTTAGGGCAGTGAAATTACTCTAAATGATACTAAATGCTGGGGATGGAACCCCAAATGCACTGCCACTCCCAGTACCACAGGACAAGGAACTGAGTTTCTTTTGTGTTTTATAGGAATGACACTGATAACCTGCTCTTCATCTAGTTGTCAGGCAAAACCAACCTGTAACCCTTGTAGTCTGTTATAAATCCTAATTCACAAAATAAAAATAAAGTATTAAATTGATATATGACCCCAATAACCAAGTAGAATATTGTATGGGGGCTTTGTAATGATAGCCCCTCACTGAAAACTATAGGGGTAGATATGAGAAACTGGTGTGACTCCATTTTTGAGAAACCAGCTTCTACCTCAAAGCCTGTCCTAAGGAAGGGGGCATGACCCTTGTCCTGGGAAAAACCCCACAGAGCACTCCTAAGCACATACCCACCCTGCTGAGTTGTTTGTCTACAAATAACAGGAGAGATCTGCAGCGCCAGGTGTCCCTGACTCGGGCTAAGTGAGGTCCCATAGCAACCCCCCTAGCAACCACCAATCAGCATGAGACAGGAAAAATACCTGGAATGCCAGATGATCCCCCCCCCCCAGTAGTTTATTGTGGTTGATAACATGTTGGGAAACTATGTAGTATAGCACGTACACCCCTCGTGGCCTAAACCAATCAGTTCAAAGGAATCCCCCTCTTGTACTAACCAATCACCCCTACCCAACTTGTTCCCGCCAGTGAAAGTGCTAATCAATGTTAAGAGTTGTTGTTTGACTTTCCTGTGGTATGGAATGATTTGCTGTGTGATGTTGTGATGCATAGAGTATCCCCAAAAAACCTATAAAATCTCACTGAACAAAGGACCAGGACTCACTCCCTGGGACCGCTGCATTGGGAACAGTTGTGAGTCCAGGCTCGAGCTTACAATAAAGACTCTTGTGTGATTGCATCAGATTCGGCTCCTGGAGGTCTATTGGGGTCCCAGGAATCTGGCATTACAGATATATAATGAGCTGACCAAGACTGCACCCTGAGCACCAGAAGACCAAAGGCACCAGAAAAGAGGGACAGGGGTGCCGCAGTCTGGCTGGGCACACAATCACGAGCCACCACA